GCATGAGTCCCTGAGAGCACCGGGCTCTGTCATCGACATCAGGGCTGGGGTACACAGGGTGTAAATGAAAAAGCTCAACCTAACAGGCCCCATGAACCCAAATTCAAATCCAAATCTGACATACTTACAGCTAGGAAGCTTTCCTTGAGCACTGTAATGAAAGGCGGCATGAACAGATAAACTAAACAGTCAACTAACATCCAAGATCTCCCTACATCTCCCTAATGTTCTAATACTCTCCTAACAGAAAACACCAAACAGCTGTTATTTTTTTAACATTCAAATCACACTTTGGACACCAAAAACTTTTAAAAATACAAGGTGTAATGGCCAGGCCATGGTGCTGCATGCCTGCAATCCCATAATCCTAGCATTTGGGGGAGAGGCTGCGGCATGAGGACCACTGCAAGTTCAGAGACAAGCCTGGGCCACACAGTGTGTTCAAGGCCAGCCTGAGCGACAGCAAAACCATCTCAAAAATTAAAAAAAAGGAAAGAAAGTACAACGAACAGAAATGTTTACTGCAGCCAGGTGGTAGTACACACCTGCAATCCCACTATGGACTCTGGGAGGCTGAGTGAGGTAGGAAGGAGCCCAGGTTCTCACCCAGCCTGGGCAAGATAGTGAGACCCTGTCTCAAAATCTTTAAAAAAAAGCTTAGTGTGACAGCCGTGGGCTCAATTCTCACTCGTGAAAAGAGAAAAAAGCAAGGTTCACTGTACAAGGTGTTTTGCAAATAACCTGTTATGAGTTCTAAATTCCCAACTTTAGAAAACACCAAACCTGCAAAACAGACTTCAAAAATAAACAGAAATCCCGCTGGTAAATAACCAGGAGTCTGGCATAGGTCTTTTTGTTTTTACATTTACTCTCTTCTGAACACCTTCTCAGCTAGCTAGTTTAAGTAATCGAGAAGCCCTGACCTTTCTCTGACTGGGATTTGCCCCTTTAGGAGCCGGTGACACAGAGCAGGAGAGGGGGAAGGGAAGGACAACGCCCTGAGGTCTAAAGGCACAGGAGCACAGGTCACTTGGTGGCTGGGATTCCTTGGGAGGCTTTTTGGGCATGGCTCCATGGAAATTCACAATTACGGTTATCTCCAGTGATAAGCAGCAAGGGAAGAGAGAAGACTATCCCCAGAGAAGTGACAAATGGTCACAACTTGTAATTTTTGACAAACCTGAATTTTCTGAATGTAAACAACAGAGAAATTTTAAATATATTTTGATTTCTTTCCAATTTACTGACTGACAATCAGTGGTTTCCTGGTCCTGGATGATTTGCTCAAGCTAACACAACACATACTTCTACGTTGAGAGTCACCAGAGCCCATTACCAACAGCCTTGCAGAAATCGACCATTTCTGCCAGTGTGAAGTGAAGATTTTGGATGTTTCCCTCAAGCTAACTGTTTAAAGCTCAGCTTTTGTCATTACTCCCCACTGGAACTCAAGATTTAGTTAAGTGGCTTGGTTTACAATTGGCACAAGACAGCTACTCTGATGAATAGTAAGGAACACCTGGGGAAAACACACAGAATGCTGGGCCCTGACTCTGTCAACAGCTGTTTATTAATTACATACGGGAGAGACAGCCAAGGAAGCACTGGGGGTTACTACCTAAACAATACTTGCTAAGAATATTCAGAAACACATTTCAACTGTGATCAAATGCAGAAATGTGTTTAGGTTAAGGGAGCCCTAACTTTCTCACCTGCTAGACTTCCTGCCAGAATATCTACATAACGAAATATTATTCAGTCATACAAATGAAGTACATGCTACAATCTGAATGAACTTTAAAACCATATTAACTCAGGCACAAAAGGCACACAAATTGGCTGGAATAGCTCAGCCTTGTGACACAAGCCAGCAATCTCAGCTATTCTGGAGGTTGCAACAGGAAGCTCACAAGTTCAAAGCCAACCTGAGCAATGTAGCAAGACCCAGCCCCAAAATGAAGAGACATGGGGGGGGGAGGGCAGGGATGTAGATCAGTGGAATAGTGCCTGCCTGGCAAGCAGAAGTTGTGAGTTTGATTCCTGGTACCACCCCTACCCCCAAATGAAGAGATAGATAAGACTGGGAAAGGGCTGGGGAGGGGCTGGGAAGTGACTGCTAACAAACCTCTTTCCCGGGAGATGAAAAAGCTTTGGGAGGCTGATAAGAGACTGTTGCACAATCTGGTGACACAGAAAAAGTACTTCACTGTGGGAAAAAAAAAGTCCTGACTTTTTTCAAGAAAGAAAAAAAGCAGTCTTCTCAGGATCCTTTCTGGTCTGCAACTCTTCTGCACAGCGCTGCCAAGCTCCCTTCCTGCTGCCTCATCCTAGAGGCCCACCATGGAGAACTGTCACCCGGCTAAGGTCAGGAGGGCACACACGAGCAAAGAGAATCACCAAAGTCCAAATATTTGGTTTCCACCAACATGCTGACTGCCACTAAAACTGCTGGTGATCTTTTAAACCAAAATGTGTTAACACCTAACTAGGATTTTGAAAACGTCCCATGATCTGGGTGTGGTGGCACAGGCCTGTAATCCTAGCACTTGGGAAGTTGAGGCAAGATTGTCTAGTTTGAGGTCAGCCTGGGCTACATAGCAAGACTGTCTCAAAAAAACAAAACAAACCAAAAAATCATGGCTTCTCCCCCCCCCCCCAAAAAAAAGAAAGAGGAAAAACCCTGTCTGTACAATTAAAAGAGAAAACGGAAAAAAAAAAAAAAAGAAAAGAAAAAGAAAATGGAATGGTTTTTAAAATAAGGGTCTCACTATTTAGTTCAGGCTGGCCTTAAAATAGGGAGCCTAGGATGGCCTTAAACTCTCAGCGATCCTGGACGTCAGGTAACTAACGGAGTTTAAGCAAAATTGTGGCACCTGCCTGTAGTTATAGCACTGAGGAGGCTGAAGCAGGAGGATCACTGTGAGCTGGAAGCCAGACTTAACTACATACATGGGAGACCATTTCAAAAACAAAAAACAAAACAAAACGAAACCAAACCAGTGGTGTGATAGCTCTCTCCAGTATCTAAGGGACGTAGTGAAAAAATAGTGCAATTAACGTTTCTTTTACCTAGATGGTGGACAGGAAGGTAGGTAACAGTGTCCACACATCAACGCACACACACTAGCGAATCGCACACACACTAGCGAATCGTAACCGAACACTGTATCATCCTATTTCAGCTCTGAAGATTGAGACTTTTCACAGCTAAACCCCACTTAGCTTCTTTTGCAGTAATTCTACACAAAGATGCGGAAGGGGATTAATTCTTTACAAAACGCATCCAAGAAAATAGGTCATCCTATGTTACTGCCACCGAATATTTAAAACCCCATCTATGTGAGTACTCTTAACACACTAAACTATTTTTAACACTTTTTTTTTGTTTTTTTGAGACAAGGTCTCACTATGCAATTCAGGCTGGCCTTGAACTCCCTTTGTAGTCCAGGGTGACCTCGAACTTGTAGAACTTGTAATGATCCTCCTGCCTCGCTTCCTGAGTGCTAGGATTGCAGGTTTGTGCCACCAAGCCAGGCTTACCACTTTCAAAAAATGTACATTAAAGTAACTCCAGACAGGGCCTGGGGATTTAGCTCAGCGGCATAAGTGCCTGTCTTGCAAGCAGGTAGTCGTGAGTTCGATCCCTGGTACCGATAAAAACGAAAAAGATCAAAAAAAAAAAAAAAAGGTAACTCCAGACAGCTAAGTGTAATCCCCAGCATAGAGAGGCTGAGGCGGGAGAATCAGCCTGAATTCTACATCAATCTAGGCGACAAAATGGTTTTAAGGCCAGCCTGAACTACATAAATAAGGAAACCCAGTCCCTGAAAATAAGTAACTGTGAGCTGTGCCTCCGGTAAGCAGCCATCTGCAGAGGCAATCAGACTGAATGTCGACTTCACCGCTATAGGCCCCTCCAGCTCAGACGTCCTTCCCTCCTCTACTGGCCGACCGGCCGGCCACCTCGCACTTCGTCCAGCAATGTCAAACACCACCTAGTTGCTAGGTCTAGAAAAGTGGGCCATCAATTTGGCATGCAAAACACGTGAAATTTACTGGAAAGCCATCGCGACCAAACCATGAGATAAAACTTGGCGTCAAGAGGTGAACACACTTTTGCTTGAGTATCTAAATGCACACGGTAACATGAGCAGATAAGGCGTCCAGACTGGCCTGGCAATTCACCTGCCCCGGCCTCCCCGCGGAACGACGCCCCGCCGCTCCGAGATGGTGTGCTATTGGGGCGGTGAGAGGCGGGGGCGGAGCGGCTCTACCCAACTCTAAGTTTAGGCAACAGAATGAAACTAGGGGCAAGGATCCCAGCGTCGGCAGCAAAAGTAGCCGCCCCAGGCGCCGACTAACCAGCGGGGAGGCCCGCGCACCGGGCGGCAACAAAGATGCCGCCGCAGGCACAGCCCGGCGTCCGGCAGGGGCCGCACCGCACCCCGCCACGGGGGAAGCGCGGCAGGAGCGCTTGGAGGCCGCAGGCAGCGTGAGCACGGGCGGGGCCGCCGCACTGACACGGCAGGGCCCGCCCGGCCCGCCGCCCTCCGGAGGCCCCGGGGCTCCCGTGCGTCCCGCGTCGCGGCACGGCGCCCCCAGAGGCCAGCGGGGGAAAGACGCGAGACCAGGCCGCGTCCCCGCGCGAGGCCCGCCAACGCCCGCCGCGTCCCGCCCGTCCGGGAAGCGGGGCCCGGGGTCTGGGGCTCAGGGCCGCCCCGTCCGTTAAGGGCTCGCGGGGTCGCGCGCCGCCGCTGCCTTCTTACGCTGCCGACCCGCCCTGCCGCGCGGCACCCGCGCCAACTACGCCATTGCGGCCTGGCGCGCCCCTCCCCCGCCCGCCGCGGCCGCCATCTTGGGCCCGCCGCCCCCGCCGCCGCCATCTTGGGGCCGCCATACTGGCCCGGGCGGAGAAGATGGCGGCGCCCAGCACACACATAAAACATGGCTTCCCTTCAAAACAAAAACATCCCGAGCCACGGCGCGCAGCCCGCGCTCACCTGACGACCACATGGTGACCGAGAACTCGCCCTCCAGGGTCTTGATCTGCACCTGCTTCTGCTCCCACTTCTTGCCGCCCGGGTCGGCGCCGCCGCCGCCCGCCGCGCCGGCCCCGCCGCCCAGGTAGCCCTTCTTGCCGCCCTTCTTGCCGCCGCCCTTCTTGCCGCGGCCGCCGCCCGACGACGAGCCGCCGCCGCCACCGCTCTTGCCGGCCGCCGCCACGGTGACCAGCGTCTGTTCGATGTAGTCATCGTCGCCGCCGGCGGGCGCGGGCACCGGGATGAGGATCTGGTCCTCGAAGCCGTCCTCGGCGCGCAGCCCGTCCGAGTCGTCGCCGCCCACCACCTCCTCGCGCGTCTGCACCAGGATCACCTCTTGGTGGTGGTGCACCTGGCTCGGGTCGTCGGTGACCAGCGGCTGCAGAGCGATCATGGGCGGGTGGTGGTGGTGGTGGTGGTGATGGTGGTGGCCGGCGTGCCCGTGGCCGCCCCCGCCGCCGTGGTCGCCGCCGCCGCCGTCCTCGTCGTCGTCGTCGTCCTCTTCCTCCTCGCCCACCACCGTGGTCTCGATGGTCTCCACCGGGATGGTCTCCACCTCGATCTCGTGCAGCTCCACGATCTCGGCCGGCATCTCCGAGCCGTCCGTGGCGATGTAGAGGGTGTCGCCCGAGGCCATTGCCGCGGCGGCCTCGGCGCGGGGGCTGCGGGCGGGCGGGCGAGGAGGCGGCCGGCCGTGGGGAAGGAAGGAGAGGGAGGAAGGCGGCGGGCGGGCGGGGGGGAGAGGGGGCGGGCGGCGGGGGAAGGGGCGGGCGCGGCGGCCGCGGCGGGGCTTCCCCGCCTCCCGCGCTCGGTGTGCCCCGCGCTTGTCGGCCGCTGCTCGTCCCACTGCCCGCCTGGCCGCACCTCGCCTGGCCGCCCGCCCTGGCCGCGCCTCCTCCCGCCCTCCGGGCCGGCGCCTGGCTTCCCCCTTCCTCCTGCGCCTCCGCCTCCTTCCACACAAATACCAACTCCTCAACCCGAGCCCAGATCTCGCCGCCGCTGCCGCCGCCACACTCTGCTCGGGCTCGGCCTCGCGAGACTTCCGCTCTAGGCCCGCCCCGCCCCGCCTCGCTCCCACTCGCTCAGCCGCGCTCTTGCTCCTCCCTCGCTGCCAATCCCGTGGCCCTGCTCATCGCCGAGGCCCCGCCCTCTAACTCGGGTTCCTCCCGGATTGGGGCCGCTGGGACAGGGGGCGGGGCAGCCCCACGCGGGCAGGCTGGCCCTGCGGCGCGTGACGTCAGCGCGGCGCCGGCGCTGTTCTGCGTCGCGCGGCCTCCGCCCTTCGCGGTGCAACAGCGACAAAACCGCCGCTTGTTCCCGGGTTACACTCGGGAGTTGGGCGTCGCCGCGGCAGCCGCCACCTCAGGAGCTGGTGAGCGGTCCGCGCGTCTCCGGAGTACAGGGCCGGAGACTGGGTAGTTGGGGGTAAGTGGGTGGCCGGCGCAGGGGTGAGGTGGGAACGGTCTGGAGACCTTGCGCGGGGCGGCCGGTGGCCCGGTCGCCCCAATAAAGTGGTTTGACGAGAAACGCCTGTGTTTGGTTTTTCACGTCGGGCGGCGCGTGCTCTTCGCGCGTGGCTCCGGAGTGGCGGAGCCTGGGAGGCAGCAAAGAACAGTGTGGAGCGCGTGCCGCACCCTCCTTGGGCGCTGTCCCCTCCGGGCCCCGGTCTCGGGGGCGGGGCGGGGCGGGGCGGCGGCGGAAGCGGTCCCGGACCTTGTCCGTTATTCTTTTGTGACCCGCGGAAACCTGAGATGAGCCGTTTGGGTACCTGTTTCCCGGGGATCGTGGACCTGCGGGTTTCGGCGGCTCGCGGCGCGGATCGGCGATTGATCGCTCACTAAATTTCCTTCCGCGCCCTCCTTTCCTGCCCCGCGTTCCTGTCTGTGTCTCTCTTTACTTGCGCTCTCCACACCCTTCAAATTTGCATCGCCTTATTGAAAATTCTGTATTTTTTTCCTATGTGTTCTACTTGACAACTCCTGCAGAATTAGGTCTGAGATTTGGGGGGTGGGGGGACACGAATTCCTAGCAAGTTAAATTTTACTGAGATGTATTGCAGCGAAATGTTCTTGCCCTTGTCTATCCCTGTGGTCGATCTGACAGTTGGATTAAAGCAATACAAATCAAGACTGAAGTGGCTTTTAAGAAAAATCGTGAAAATTAAAAATTTGGAGGTGTGTCTTCGTGTGATGTTTTGGCGGATTTAGCGCTCCTGTACAGTTGAACCTTAGTATTCTCGATGTTTACTCTTGTCCAACGGAACAGCATTACTGTAGTTGAGGTCCCTCGTTATTGTGAACTGTAAACCACTAGCTTTAGAGTCAGCTTGTTGAGACAGAAGGGTGTCTTACTGGGAACATATTAGCAAAGTGTTTACATATTCTAATTAAAAATGTGACTTGTAAATCTAATTACGTCTCTACTTTTTTTCTGGTTGTTTTTGGTTTGGTGGTGTGTGTGTGTGTGTGTGTCTTTTTCTTTTTTATCAGTACCGGGGATCAAACTCAACGACCGCCTGCTTGCAAGGCAGGTGCTTATGCCGCTGAGCTAGATCCCCAGCCCCTTTGGTTTGTTTTTTGAGACAGTTTAGTTTGGTCCAACCTTGAGCTCAAGGTGATCTTTCTGCTTTAGCCACCAAAATGTTGAGATTACAGGCATGTGCCAGCAGGCCTAGTTGTACTTATTTCTCAAAGGCTTTGAATTTGATTTCCGCTCCCTTTTGGGTCATTGGGATTGAACTCGTTTTGGCATCCAGCTACAATCCCAATCCCCACCCACTCACACCCTTTTTTAATTTTTTATTTAAAGAGACAAGGTTCTAGGCTGGGTTCAAACTCACAACACCACGCCTGCCACAGCCACCCAGAGTGGATTACAGCCCTGAACCAAGTTCAGCTCTATCCAGACTGATTTCTCTTTCTCTTCCTTTCGTCCATCCTTTCTTTGTTTCTTTCAAGATAGGGTCTCACTGTGCAGTTTAAAGTGGCGTTCGACTTGCTTTGTAGCCCAGGCTGGCATCCAGCTCCAGAAACCCTCCTGCCTCAGCCTGAGTGCTGTGAATACATCATCACATCATCACATAAGAAGTGAAAAATAAGATTAGTTTCTCTTTGAATGCAAGCTTTAGAGGCTAGGAATTCCCCTGGGAGTGCTGCACCCACACAGTTCGACAAATCATTGAGTGGAGTCATCTCTAGCTTCATAGCTTGCAAACTGCATAAATATTTCATTGATGAAAGCTAATTTTTCTTGTAGCTTATTGCTTTTTAATTTCACATCGCCACGCCAGGCATTGATAAAATGAAGTAATAGGCCCCTCTTCTGTGGCTGACCTGTGATGTCCCCTGCAGAGAGGGAAAGCTGAGCTGGAGGGGCAGGATGGAGGTGTTTCAGTGGTCAGGACAGCAGGAGGTGAGAGCATTGAGCTGCTTCTGATCCTGGCCTTGGCATCTGCTCCACCTCTAGCTGTGGAGACTTACTCTTGTTCAGTAGCCTGTGAGGTTTCTATGAAGAGAGATGCTCTGGCTTTTCTGCTTTGACAGAGATAACTCATCACTAGACATACAGAAACACCATGTTAGGTTGGCTCTTGCCGGCTTACACTTGCTGCTAAGTTAGCTTACTGTTTTGGGGGAGGTTTTTTTTTTTTTTAATCTGTACGGGGATCTAACTCACGACCGCCTGCTTGCAAGGCAGGTGCTTATGCCACTGAGCTAAATCCCCAGCCCCGATTTTTGCCTTTTTGAGACAGTTTCACTGTGCAGTTCAGGCTGGCCCTGAATTCACTTGGTAGCCCAGGCTGGTCTCAAACTCTCATCGATCCTCCTGCCTCAGCCTCCCGAGCGCTGGGGTTTTGTATGTGTACCATCACACCTGGCCATCAAAGTCAGTATTTAAAAGGACAAGTTAAATTTCAGAATTTTGACTCTAAATATGGGGATCATCTCAACACTTTTATTGGGCCAAAGAATGTTTTCTGTAAACTTCTGAAGATCTTTTATGTGGGCAGAAAACGAAATGATTAGAGCCAGGTGTGGTGGCTCACCTGTAATCCCAGCACTTGGAAAGCTGAAGCAGGAGGATCACTGTGAGTTGGAGGCCAGCCTGGGCTACGTAGTTCAGAGACAACCTGAGCTAGGTACTGAGACCCTGTCTCAAAGAAATGGTTTTTTCCATTGAAATAAATCGGTATTTCTGTTAAACCAGAAATAACTTCTTTCTCTTACACCCTTCCTCCTATCTCTCTGGCCAAAGGTTGGGTTGGTCAGTCTGCAGCTCTGCCTTGGAGAGATTACTGGATCAGATTGAAAGTACTGTGACAGAGGAGGTTCTGTGTAACAGTGCCAAAGCGTCAGTGTTTTGAAAGTTCTAATTTTCGGGGGCTGGGGATTTAGCTCAGTGGCATAAGTGCCTGCTTTGCAAGCAGGCAGTGGTGAGTTTGATCCCCGGTACCGATAAAAAGACAAAAAATTAAAAAATAAAAAAAAGAAAGTTCTAACTTTCTACAAACCTTCCAGTCTACCAGGAAAGTGAGCTTTAGCGGCTGTAGAAGAAAGACGATTACTGCAAGCCTTGCTGCAGCTACAGAAAGCTTCCCAGAGCCTCCCAGAGATCAGGGCTCCCAAACAGCTGAGGACTCGTGGTAACAGAGACACTGAAGAATGCGCCCTTACCTTGCCCTGGGCTGCAGCAGGACAAAGATGTGGATTATTCGCTGAGGACTCATTTGATGTCTCTAAAATTGATGTCATTTCCTGATGGTTCTGTTTCAGAATCTTTGGTTAAGTGATGAGACTTAAGACCCTGGGATTAGGAAGGCGTGGTGTGGGTGGAAGAGTCAGGGGTGTTAACTGCAAAGTGCCTCATACCTTTGTTTAATGTCCTCATTTTCACTTGGTGGGTGGGGAGCGGTAAGGACTGAGCCCAGCGTCTCTAGCCCAGGGTCTGGAGCGCCTTTCCCCAGAGCTGGCCTGGGCCCCGCCCTTCACTGGGTGTCTGCAGGCTGACTGTTACAGCGGGCTCTAGAGCACATTTATTTTACACATTGGGATTGGTTCAAGCAGGGAACTCAAGCTAAGCCATTTCTCCTCATCTAGGCTAATTTGGCTGCTGCATGAAACTTTTAGATTAGCTCTAAAGCTGCTGCTTTTGCAGCTCCTCAGGTAGGAATTTGTAGGTTAGAACCAGGCCTGGCAGCTGGTCCCGTCTCTTCATTTTATAGAGAACACTGGTGCCCTCCAGGTCACTTGGCAAGGTGGCGAAGATGGTGACGGAGCTGCCGCCAAGGGCTGGGAGGTAAGTTGGGGCAGTGGACTTGTTTCCGGTGAAACATTAGAGAAATCAGGATGAGAAGAAAGGTGATAATTGGGAGCCACATGTGTGAGCTGAGTTACCTTCACTTGGCTCCATAGAAGTTAAATGAACCAAATATAGGTATGTCTTCTTAAGTATCTAACCTGTAGAGTTTGGCTTTGGGTCCACCCCTTTGGTGGAATCTTTAGCATCTGGGCTACTAGAAGAAGACTTTTTTCCTCCCCAAACCAATGTGCATAGTAGGTTAGGCGTTTGAATTGTGGTGACATAGCCTAACTATGTGTTAACAGGTGAGGTCTCACATCATATATAAAATTATCTCCCTTCATGTGTGACTTTCTTTTTTGTAAGGTGATGGTCAAGGTCTCTTAGGCTAAGTAGTTGATTGCAATGGCTAAATCTAGTTATTGCTCGTAAGTATAGGAAAGTTGAGAATGTACAAGGGAACAGAATGGTAGAGAATCCTTTAAGTCCAGTATGGTAGCACACACCTATAATCCCAGCACGCTGGGGGGCTGAGGCAGGAACCTCGCCTTGAGTTTGAGACCAGCCTGGGCTACATAGCAAGACCCTGTTTCAAAAAAAAAAAAAAAAAAAAAAAAATTCTACCTTGCAGGAGTGTTCCTGGCCACACTCGTGTGTCCGCTGTTACTGCACTGCAGTGTGGGGTGACGGGACTCTGACACACCCATGCTGAGTGTGAGCAGGGTCCTGAGGGCTCTTTGATGGGGACTTACTGTTTCTTAAAGGGGTGACGCCCGGGGGAATTGAGAGCCCAGAGCATAGTGAACCAGCTGGAGGCCAGAGGGCACTCAGACAGTCCCAGGCATCTGTCCCGGGATCTTCGTGTGAGCCACACTGGAGACCGAGCCTTGGGGGACCCTGGAGACCAGGCAGGAGCTGCTCAGACTAACCTCCACCCCCAGGGTAGCTGGTTACCCACCGTGGCTCTGAGGCAGGTACCCGGTATTCAGCTGTGCAACTCCTGGGAGGAAGCCTGGAGTTGGGGGCAGAGGGTCAGTCCATCCTAGTGAGGTAGAGACCTCCATGAGGGGAAACAACGTTGCTGGCTGGTAAGCGGCATGGGAAGTGCCCGGTGCAGTGTCCGGCTGCCAAACAGCCTTTTAGGGTGCTAATTTCTGTGTGAAAAAGGCAGTGGATCAGTGGGTCAGTCTGCAAACATTTGAGACAAGCACCTCACACTGCCATAAAAGCGTTGTGTTTAGTATTGAAAACCAGCAGGCTGTTCCACCCAGGCTGCTACTGAGCACGGCTGTGTTTTTCTCAGCAGTTGGTTACCAACGTCCAGGGCCAGCATTTCCATTTTTAGTTATTTTCCTGAGCCATTCCTTGTTCCAAGTGCCCATCGGATGTTGGGTTAGCAGTGGCAGGTAGGCTGGGGCGCAGGTCAGTGGGGCGTGTACTTAGCGCAAGGCTCTGGGTTCTGTCACCACCACCACCTGAAACTGCAAATGGCCTTAAAGCTCTGGCCTGGGAACAGCCACTGAGATCGTAGGTGGAAGAGAGCAGGCTGTGGAGTTAAAACCCAGGCCCAAGCTCTGGTCCTGCCACGTATCACCCATCTGCCTGTCAGAAAAGGGTGTAATTTGTTTTGTTTTGTTTTGTTTTATTGGTAGCAGGGATTGAACTCACAACCTGGGTTTTAATGTAATTTGTTTTGCTTTTTTGAGACAGGATCTCTACATAGTTCAAGCTGTCCTCAACTCCCAGTCATCCTCCTGCCTTGGCCTCCTGAGTGCTGGGATTACAAGTGTGCACTGTACCCAGCCTCTAATTGCTTAATTTTTTCTTTAGCTGTAAAACAAGAGAAATGCCAGTTTTTAGGGTTTCAGAAGTAAGTAAAATGCCTATGTATGTGTATATAATGCTATTAAAAAGACGCGTGGAGGTTGCACACACCTGTATTTCTA